GTTAAGAGCCATAACAATTACATCAGGTTGAAGAAATGAAGTACAAAGTGCTAGACTGCAGAGATTAGAAAATTTTTTATTTGTATACAAGATTTTATCTGAATAACTTTGGCTGCCTAACAGTTCACTTGTCAAAATATCTCCCTAACCACCCTAAAAGTCATCTGTGTGTCCTCTGAGCCTAGTAGAGCATCTCACATATGAAAAAAAATCCAAGTATACTGTTGGAATAAGTGAAATACTTCAGTTTCATGGGCTGTTTCATAGCCCTTTACCTCTAAACTATTGCCTGTCTCTCAGGTTAACACATTATTTATTTAAGGGTGTATTTTTATGGGCACCTAACCTTCACTTCGGTTTTCTTTTTTCCCTGTGGTATTGAAGATCAAACCCAAAGGTACTTTTGAATTCAAGGGTGCTCTACTGATGAACCACATACACAGTCTTTTTTTATTTTTTATTTTGAGACAGGGTCTCTCAAAATTGCCCAGGCTGCCCTTGAACTTATGATCCTTCTAGCTGGGATTACAGACATGTGCCACCATTCCCAGATCTATATTATTGTTTTTATATTTTTAAAAACTTTTCCAGCTCTATTTTTGATACTCATAACCCAAAACAAATACTTATTTTGAGGTATCTGAAGTAAAAAGTAACCTTGAGGCAACATTTATTTTATCCTATTCTCAAGTATTTAAAAAGTTAGAAACATGAGCTGGGAATGTGGCTCAGCCGTAGAGCACTCATCTAGCAAGTGTAAGGCCCTGGGTTCGATCCTCAGTACCACATAAAAATAAATAAAATAAAGGTATTGTGTCCAACTACTTCTAAAAAATAAATGTTTTGTTTTTTTTTTAAGTTAGAAACAATAACAAATCTATCTCATTAAATAGGAAGAGAAAGCAATGAATTATTTGCATCTTGACTGGGAGAAGGCCAGTGACTGCAGCACCCCATGAGAAAGACAGCAAGGCTGTGGTGAGAGACCAGTTCTCCAGCTAAGTGCAGCCTCTGATGATGCCAGGATTACCATCCAGGTGTTGAAGCAGCCAAGACAAAGACAACAACCCTTTAAGGCTTGGAGAAAAGCCTGTTTACTTCAGACATCAATCTTGCCACTGCTTATCAACCAGCTGCATGGAATCATCTGGGAAGGGATCATAAATAGCTACTCCATAATCTCCCACAACAGTTTTCAGGTGTCTGGAGTTTATTCTATGCTATAATTTTTGGATTAGGCAGCTCAACCACTGAAGACCCTATGAGATAACTTTCAACCACAAGCAAAACAACACAAAGTAAGGCAGGAAAGCAATTAAGATTATGTTTTCAGTCATGTCTTTCTCTTTTCCCAAAGTTCTCAAATACTTTGGCTAGGCCTGACCCCTCTCATTTCACTCAACATTTATTGAAAATGGGCTAATGAAAGACACTGTGCAGATATTAATGTAAAAGTACCCTAGCTCTCTCCCGACAAACGTCCCACTCCTCAAATGAGTCTCCTCCCAGACAAGAGATACCAAGTTCGGAAATAAAATGGATATGCCTTAAAAAAAAAAAAATCCTAGTTTAATAATGTTGTACCACAACCAGCAACTTCAATCTAATTGGTGAAAGCGGCAAAGGTGGGGATGGGGTGTTACCGGTCCTACCACGTGGTTCTTCCCCTAGCTCCCATCATAAACCTAGACAACCGGGATCTAGGGGGCTAGCCCACCGAAGGGCCTCCAGGTTCCGCGCCCCACATTCCCAACCATCGATCAGATCCTTGTACTCCCGACTTGACTTCTACGGCGGGTCCACAGTACCTGGGTTGGGGCTGGTGTGTACACCCACCTGCCGACAGGCCGCCGCTCAGCACAGAGGGGGGCTGCACGCTGTACACTGTCTTAACCACACCGGTCATCGTAAGGAGGCGGCACGGCTGGGCCCTGGAAGGTGCAAGGTGAATGTTTTGCAGCGCCGGGCCCCAGCCCGAGCAGGTGGAGGGCAGGGGGAAAGCTTGACGCCGCCAGCCCAGGCTCGGGATCTGGGAAGAAGCGCCTCCACCCGGCGCCACCCCATCCGCCCCCACACCCAGCCCAGTCCCTCGCCCGGGGAGAGACGAACTCAGACGCTCGCCGCTCCCGCTCGCAGTCCTCGTCGCTGTTGTTCAGGAGAGGCTCAGCAGCAACGGCCAAGCAGCCGGTCGGATCTGCCGCCTCGGTTTCAAATGGAAACTTCCGGGAGCTGGGCGGGCGGGGTTGCAAGTCGCTTTCCGTAGGCGGCCCTGATGTGCGGAAGAGTCTGTCCCGCGCCGCGACTTTGGGAGCCGCCATGCTGTACGGAAGGTTCGAGCACAGGTGTGGGAGCCCCGGATCTAGGAGGGGAAAGGGGCGCACTTGGCAGGCCTGAATGGAGCTAATGAACTACGGTGTCATTCTGGGCAGGAGGCGAAAACGTGACCACGTTTAATGTCCACGTCACAAAGCTGTTTATTTGGTCTGTGGACGTTAGGGTTACTGCTAAGAGCATAGGTTATTGGGATGAACACTGAAGGCTCAGTGGGCTGCAATACCTAAAGCACCTATTTGGACTCCTAAATGTAATAACACTAATCCTTATTTAAATGGAGATTGAAAACCACTCCTATTAAACAGGGTAGAGTTCTCTGACGTACATTCATTTTATTCGACGAATGTTCACTGAGCATTAGGACTGAGCTTGACTTTGCCCTTCTGGAGTTTAATTGTGATTAAACTATGAAGAAAAGTATAAAATTTTATGAGAGAAAAGCAGGGAAGCTTAGTTCAAATTTGGGGATCAGGGAACATTCAGGTGGTGTTTGACTCAGGAAGAATGAGAGGGAGTTAATTACATGAACATAGGGGAATGGGAAGAAAAGCTAATGAAGTTTTTTTTTTTTTTTTTGGTACGAGGGATTGAACTCAGGAACACTCAACCACTGAGCCACATCCCCAGCCCTATTTTGTGTTTTATTTAGGATCTCACTGATTTGCTTAATGCCACTTTTGCTGAGGCTGGCTTTGAACTCACAATCCTCCTGCTTCAGCCTCCCCAGCCGCTGGGATTATAGGTGTGCGTCACTGTGCCTAGCTGAAGCTTACTCTTATTTAATATCAAATTTTATTTTTAAAAACTTACTGTGGGGCTGGGATTGTGGCTCAGCAGTAGAGCGCTCTCCTAGCATGTGTGAGGCCCCGGGTTGATCCTCATCACCACATATAAATAAATAAATAAATAGTGTCCAACTACAACTAAAAAATAAATATTAAAAAATATATTAAAAAAAAAAGCTTACTCTGGCTTTTAATGGAATTCATTCTGGAGAATGGACTAAAGATAGTTGGGAGGTTGGGAGGATATTGCTATGTTCAAGTTAGAGATGATGGCCCCTGGGCCATGGTGGTAGAGCTAGAGCAGATACATGTGCAGCAATTTTGGGAGGCAGAGTCTCAGGCTAGATGGGATTTAGGGAAGGGAGGGAGAAAAGAAGAAGATGTTGAGGATAACTCCTAGGCTTGAATAATTAATTGTGTGGATAGAGTCACAATTTTGTGGAGGCATGTGAGAAGTATTTGAGAGTTTAGTTTTGAACATGGAAAACTCTAAATACCTTTGAGACATTTCACTAGATAGGCAGCTGGAAATACAAGCTTTGAGCCCAGAGGAGATTCTGGGTTGTAGATATACAGTAAGCCCTTCATCCTTGAATTCCATATATATACATTATTTGGAGAAAGAAATTGCATCTGTACTGTATATGTGTACACACACACACACACACACACACATATGCTTTTTTCCTTGTCATTTTCCCCTGTTCCCTAAACAATATAACCTAAGAGTGATTTAATAGCATTTACATTGTATTAGATATTATAAGTAATCTAGAGATAATGTAATGCGTATGGGAGGATTGTGTAGGTTATATGTAAGTACTAAGCCATTTTTAATAAAGGACTTGAGCATCTTTGGATTTTGGTAACCTGGGGTTCCTGGAACCCAAACCCTTGGGATACCAAGGAATGACTGTACTTTTGGGAATTATTAGTATATGGATGTATTTAAAGCCGCTTTTTTCTTTCCTTTTTTTTTTTTTTTTGATGTACGTGTGTGTGTGCGTAGAAATTGAACCCAGGGCTTCATACATGCTATATGTGTGCTGTACCACTGAGCTGCTCCCCCATCCCAAGGCAGAACTTCTGCTCATGTGTTTGTGCTTATGAAGATGGATCATCATGTCTTTCCTGTGCCCTATTATCCCAGATAAGATCAGGGATGTCCTGGTCTGGCTGTGTGATAACAGAGAGACCCAGTCCATGGTGCAGAGAAGCTAGAAAGAACCCTGATGAGCAGATGTAGGGTAGAGAGGCTGAATGCTACTTGGACATATAGAGAGAGGTCCCTTAGACGGACAGATCCAAATTAAGTGCTAGTCATTGCCCCCTCTTCCTATGGCAGGAGTTACTTTCTTTTTCTTCTTCATCCTTGTCTTCTTTTTTTTAGACAGGGTCTTGCTATGTTGCCCAGGCTGGCCTTGAATTGGGCTCAGGTGATCTTCATGTCTCAGCTTCCTGAGTAGCTGGAACAGATGTGCCACTGTTCCTCGTTAGGAGTCATCTTGATTTATTTATTTTGCAAAAAGACAACTTATGTGGTCAGCCCTCCATATTTGTGGGTTCTGCATTTGTGCATTCAATCAACCACAGACTGAAAATATTCCGCATGAAAAAAAAAATCACATCAGAACTGAACACATACAGACTTTTCTCTTTTTTTCAACACAGTGTAACAACGACTTACACAGCATATACATTGTATTAGATATTATAAGTAATCTAGAGACAATTTAAAGTATATGAGAGGATATACGCAGATTATAAGCAGATACTACACCATTACACAAGGGACTTGAGCATCCTTGGATTTTGGTATTCTCCATGGATACTGAGGGTGGGTACTAAGGGACAACTGTACTGTCTTCTCTGTCTTCCATAACTCTTACATCTCATTTGAATTTCTGCTCCACTTGTCATGAGCTATTTGGGATGGGAGGTAGGTCTTAATAACTAACACAAGAACACAACAAAATTAAACAAAACACCCTCTGATTTGCCTTCAGTTCTGTCACAGATTGTCTGTTTGGATGTGGAAAAATCTCGTCGTATTTCTGATACTCATTTGTAAAATGGCCTAGTTCTTTGTAATATCATATGCAAAACAAGTGTTCCATAAACATGCTGATGTCCCCTAGTGTTATGAGTTCTTACGGGGATGAAACCTCAGGACAGACTCTGCTTTGGGTAGGGAGAGCCAGGATTTGGTCTGCCCTAGAGAAACTCATTCTTAAGAAGCATGGGACCTGACCTGGGGAGCACCTTCAGATTCACCCTTCCCCTCCAAAAAAAAGGGCAAGTCTGAATTCCCGGATTAACTGGATTCTGCTCAACCTCATCTACCTTCAGTACCTTTCCTGGCGAGGCCACTCTGCACACTATGACCATGGAAGAGACATGCCTCCGGAGCCTCAGAATCAGATCAGTCATGATGCCACAAGCCTGAAAGACATCTCAGAGGATTTCAGAGGGAAGCACAAAGGAGACAAGGAGGAACCCTAGGATCTGTTCAGAGTACAGCTTTCTCTGCAGATGGAGGCTCAAAGGGGAGGCAGGGTTTCCACAAAGACATCTAAGAAGGCAGATTGGAGGAATGTGCTAGAAGCGAAGGATCAAGACAGCCAAGGGGCCAATGTCTCTGTAGCAGGTAGCTGGATGGAGACTTGGAGTTATGGTAGAATGAGTCAGGATACTGCTCTGCCATTGACAGGTGACATGACCAACCTTACTTAGTCTCAATGTCTTTACCTGCAAATTAGGGGTAAGACCCTAATCAACTGCAGATCGTGCTGTGGTAAAGTAGTGAGAGTCCAAGGAGACTAACAGGTGTGGAAATGGAAAGGATTATTATTGTTTTTGTTTTTAAATGGGGGAGAGCACTGGAGCCTGCTTCCAAAGAGGGAGTCTTGCAATTTGATAATGCTCCAAGACTGATCATCCCACCTTCTCCTGCTTCACTCCCAGCAGCCATCTCTGCCCAGCTTTGGAGAACTTTCTGGTTAAACTGTGAATGTGAGCAGAGCAGGGCAGTTTAGGATAGAGGCCTCAGCCTAATTATGGCCCAGAGAAGCTCCCCCCAAAGTGAGAAGTGTCCTGATGAAGAGTCAATGAGAGGGATGAAACCTAGGAGGTTATGGAGGTTCCCAAGGGCTCTTCTGGTCAGTGAGGTACCCCAAAAGGGTCCCAAAGACAAAGTACCATAGTGTCACTGAACTTCTTGTTGGGAGGGGGGTCGGTCAGCCTCCCCTGATACTCAGAACTGCACACTTGGCCTCTCCCCTTTCCAGAGGAGGAGGTCGTTGTTGGCACTGTGGGAGCAGATGAGCCCAAGGCAGGTCACAAGGAGAGCCTGTATTCCCTTCCAAAGGCACTCCCTGTTGAATCCTCCAGATATAGGGGACAAGTCACAGACAGATCAAGGCTGGAATATCTGGCAGGGTTTAAAATCCATGATGATTTGGAGAATACTTTCACGTTGCAGCCTGGTGCTGCCCCTGCCTTATTTTTACTGACAAGGTTCTGCACTCAGGTCTGGCTTCCTTTGGTCTTCCTTAGCTGCTGTAGCCTGAAGTGTGGGTACTGGGCCTGCGGAGCCAAACATCTGGCAGATCTGGCTGGCTGTTGGGCAGCATCACAGGGCTGCCATCCCCTGGCCCACCGCGGCCCTTCCAGGAGGAGCTGCTCTGGTAGGAGTTGGGCAGTGATGGATCATACACCGTCTCCTTCAGTGCCAGCCACAGAGTGTCACGCTTCCCATTCAGCTGGCCCCGCTCGAGTATTGGCTGGTCAATGTCATCTAGGTCTTCTGGAGAGACACCCATGGAATCTGGTACACGGGCACTGGGCTCAGAGGTGCTTAGGCAGGTGTCATCTGAGACGCTTAGCCCCTCTAGGGTGCTGGTTGAGGAGCAAAAGCCATCAGGAAGATCTTCAGCCTTGAGCCTTGGGGAGTGAGCCGGGGTTTCCAGTGAGGCCTGCAGGGGCTCAACCTTCTGCCCTTGGGAATCCTGCCTGGCCCCAATTTTGGGGCTGGAGCCAGCTTGTTTATAGGGGGAGGAGGTCTGCAGGGCTGGGCACTGACTGAAGACTGCCTGGTGGTCCAGCAGCAGATCCCTCGGAGAGCCAGGGTCTAGTGGAATTCCAGAGCAGCAGTTGCCGTCATGAAGCTGCAGATCCTCTGAGAGTACCGAGGGCCGGTGGGATAGCTTGCTGGTGGCTGTGCTAGTGTCAAAGCTGGGGCTCCGGCGCCGTGCCAGGGGTTGAAGCTCATAATGCTCAGAGCAGGATCCAGGCATACCTCCTAATGGTCGTGTCTTTTCCTCATCAGGGTCCCCACTTCCAGCGTCCCATGGCAGGTGGGCACAGGGCCAGAGGATCTGTCCACAGTTCTTCTCTGGCCCAAAGAAACAGCACAGAGATTGGAAGAAGAAGCTGGCAAAGCCACAGCTGACGAACTTGACCATCATGATGATGATGCCCAGCTTGCGATAGAGCAGCACTGTGGCAGGTAGCATGAGCACTCCAGATGCAAACAGGGCTGCAGTTCCCACTGCTGTGGCACGGCTGGTCTGGCGCAGCGAGAAGGCCACGCGGCTCAAGCGGTCAGGGTGTGGGCACAGGTGATAGGAGATGCAATAGTTGATAGTGAAGTCTACTGAGAGACCCACAGAGGCAGAGAGAAAGAGGGACTCAGCAGTGTTGAGCTGCCACTCAAGTAGAACCAGAAGTCCTACCGTGAGTAGAACAGTGCCTGCCACAGCTGCCACGGAGAACAGGCTGAGTGGAACATTCCAGGTGCCCAGCAACAGTGTGGCAAAGGCCAGTGCCAGAGCCAGGCCCAGCACTACAGCAGGCTCAGTGCTCAGACTGTGCTGCAGGCTGTACAGCTCTAGGCGGCTGGTGAACCAACCACGGCGGAGGCCAGAAGGTGCCCTGCCCAGCTCTGCTGCCAGCCAGCGGCTGATCTCAGTGTAGAAGTGGTGGACCTGGTTGTAGTCTGGACTGTACGGGAAGTTGCTCTGGAACTGCAGGACCAGGGCAGCCAGGTTGCCATGGGCGTCAAAACGGAGTCCCAGGTCTCGGGTGCCATCGGGGCTTTGCTCCTGAGCCATCATCTTGAGGCAGTGCAAGAAAAGCTGAGGGGCCCAGGGAAAGTCTGACTGGCCACAGCAGACATTAGACCCTAGGCGGGCACAAGCCGGGCTCTCTACCCAGTGCTGGAGGGCCTCCATGAAACACAGCGTGGGCCAGCCCTCTGGCTGGATACCAAAGAAGCTCTGGTTGCGGACTCGGTGACAGAGTGCCAGAAGCCAGCGCTGGGCTTCTGGGCTGCTGGCTGAGAAGTCAGGGTCGGTCACTAATGAGCTGTTGCTGCGAGGGTCCAAGGGGTCGCTAGTGTCCACCGGCAGGATTCCCCACACCAAAACCACGGGCAATTGTCCGCCCTCTTCCGGAGGCAGGTGTTCAAACAGAAACTGCTGCTGATACTCTGCGTCAAAGCGCTCGAAGGGATGACTAGGCCTGAACACCTGACCGCCAGCTGGCAGCAGAATGGGGAGCTGCAGGCGGGGACTTACGCCGCCAATGTAGGCGCCCCCTGCAGCCAGCGCCGCGAACCAGCAGATCCAGATGTAGCGGAACTTGATGACGCCACAGGGCAGCAGACGCTGAAAGAGCAGGCGCGAGAGGATGGCAATGGCCCTCCGAAAGCCGCGGAACCGCCGGTGCAACGCTAGCAACAGCCGCCAGGGGTCACTACCGCCCCTCGGGCCTTGCGCCCTGGGTACACAGCCGCGCGCCAGGTAGCGCTCATGGAGTACTGCAGAGGCAGGCAGCCAGACCAGTGTGAGCGCCATGTGCACTAGCACAGCGGTGCCCATGAAGAGGGCGAAGCAGCGCACCGCCGGCAAGCGGCTCAGGTAGCTGCCATAGAAAGCCGCGCTGGTGGTGAGGCCCGAGACCAGCAGCAGGTAGCCGAAGTGGTGCATCGTGCGGCCCACTCGCTGCGCCAGACCCCCAGAGGGCACCTGGCTTTTGCTGAGGCGCCATAGGTCGAAGAAGATGAGTGTGTGGTTGACGCAGACACCGCTAAGCAGGATGAGGGCTGCCAGATTGACAAAAGGGAAGTAGGCCATGCGGAAGGCCACATGGTATAGAAAGAAGGCCACCAGTAGGGAGCCCAGCACCCCCAGCGTAACCATGAGCGTGATGAAGAGTGAGCGCAGGTAGAGGGCAATGCTGAAGAAGATGGCAACCAGGGCCAGCAAGGGGTACACCGTATCCACGGCCAGATAGTGCTTCAGCAGCTCCTGCTTGATGCCCAGGTCCATGCCAGTAATGGAGGTATAGTTGTCAGA